CCCTCCACCCCCCGCCCCAGCCCGAGTTGGGAAGTCTTCGGCCTTCCAGAAGAAGCAGCTGTAGTGCTCCCTTCTTGACTCCTCACCTCGGAGCATCTCAGGGGGTTCACTGCCCTCTTAGTGGAGGGTGAAGGCAGCAGGTGGAGGCGTGGGCTCTACGCAGTTTCCCAGGGCACCCCAGGGCCAGATTCTCCACTGTCTTCCCAGTTGACCAGTTTCCAGCTCTGTCTCACTGTCACCATCACAGTAAAGCCGGGGAGAAGGACATGAGGGGGTGGCCGCCAAAGGGCACCTCTCCTTCACAAGGAAGGTGCTGTGCTCTGCAAACACACACAGGCACCCTAACACTCGAAACTCACACATTCACCTTTGTTCAGCCAGATGCCCACACTCCCCTGCCCACCCCTTTCCTGCGACAGCAGTCTCTTGCTTTTTTATCCTGGGAGAACTTGAGGCCCCCCCTCCCACCCCCAGCTGGAGCGAGGGAAGGTGCCAGCTCTGCAGAGCCTCACGCTGTCATCTGGCTTCTTCAGTATGCGTCACCTCTCCCAGAAGAGGCGGGTGACTGAGGGCCCAAGGAAAGGGACCAGGGACCATTCCCCCGCAATGCCTGCAATGGAGGGAGGCCTTCAGGAAGCTGAGCCGAGGTGATTGGCCATAAAACAGCTTGGCCACAGCATCTGGAGGAGATTGGAACCAGATGCTCTCCAGTGGGGGAGGGGAGGGAAGGGTCTCAGAGAGGAGGGGGCTGCAGCAGGAGAACAAGAGCTCTGACCAGCAGGAGGCTGGGTTAGGGGCCTCATGGTTCTCTGGGGGAAAACCCCTGGCTGCCCTCTTCCCAGCTCCCCAAACCAGGCCCTACTATTTTTGCAAACTGGAGCAGCAAATCTTTTTCTTTTTTCCCCCCCTTCCTTCATGGATTCTAGAATCAGCCTTGCGTGTAGGGCCCGTCAAGTACAGGGTGTGACTTGGGAGATGTCCAGGAAGACTACCAGTTAGCCAGAAATAAGTCCCCCAGTGCCCCTTGCTGTGGGTTAAGCATTGCCCTCATCTGGCAGGAGCAGTTCTGCACTAAGCTCCTAACATCTAGTTAGTGTGGCCAGAAGGTTCCTTTTAGAGCCGGAAGAGAATCCTGCCGGAAGTAGTGAATTGTCTGGTAAGGGAAAGGATGCCGTATTTATCGAGAGCCTCCTGTCTGCCAGGCTCGGTGACAGGTTCTCTTCAGGGTGATCTCATTGCTTCCTTAATGAAACAGCGGAATGTGTCATGATCATGCTACATTTATAGGCGAAGAAACTGAGGCTCGGAGAGGTTAAAGGACTCATGCTTGGGGTGTGGTGAGTGTTCAGATGCAGCTTTGCCCCTTTTTACTATGCAGAAGCACTTGGGATTAGGAGGAGTGGGAGGAAAGGGAGGGGGGAGAGTGAGGAAGAGGTGTAAGGCCCAACTTTCCTTTCACGACTGACAATTGCCCCCAGTAACCTCAGCACCTCTGTTGAGGGTCCCAGTCACTTAACGAACCTGTCCCCTTCACTCCAGTTGCTCTGGAGACTGGATCATTACCCCCTACCCCACCCCACCCGCCAGAGAAGTCTGCAGGCAGATACCTTACATCCCAGCCCTCAGTCATCCTCTTCCCATGCCTACAGGCCGTGGGCACAGTTTGGCACTGAAGCTGTCCTCTGAACTTGAACTTCTAATCCTGGTCCATGATGAGGTGGTGGGGAACCGAACACAGTGGCTTCCACTTCTGGAGGAGGACGAAGACTCCCTCCGGAGGGGCCCTGGTCCTGTCCCCGACAGACTCAACTGTTCCAGGGACTGCTGCTGCCTGTTTTGGAACTCCGTCACCCCTCAGCTCGCTCGCAGTCTCACACTGCCCAGAACTCTCAGTCTGAGTTAGCTAGTGCTGTTAGAACAGAAAGACGGCAAGGGGAAGGCACACACGGTATTTTGTTCTCTCACAGTTTAGGAGGCTAGAAGTGAAAATCCAAGCCACCAATTCTAGAGGAAAGCTGTCTCTCCCTGTCAGTTTGGGGGGAAGGTCCTTGTTTCCTTTCAACATCTATGGACCTGGTATTTCTTGAAGAGCTCTGTGTGTCTTGGCACATTTCTTCCCCTGGGTCTAAAACAGGGGTTCTCAAACTTTTTAAACAGGGGGCCAGTTCACTGTCCCTCAGACCCATTGGAGGGCCGGACTATAGTTTAAAAAAACCTATGAACAAATTCCTATGCACACTGAACATATCTTATTTTGAAGTAAAAAAACAAAACAGGGCAAAAACATCCGGCGGCCTGGGTAAATATCCTCGGTGGGCCGCATGTGGCCCACTGGCCATAGTTTGAGGACCCCCTGGGAAGGTTCTCAGTGCAGAGATCCTGGATTCAAAGGAGGCACTCTGCTCCTGGCTCATCTTTCTTGGTGGTAGTAGGTCCTTCTCAATGATGCTCTTGTTAGATAAAAAGGGATGCAGGTCACACCCCAGGGATGCTCCCTTTGCACCAGCTCAAAGCTGTGACCTAAGTAAGGGTTCCTAATGCCCTTACAATGGACTGGCTGATCACAGCTTATAGTTTGAGAGATGATTACATCATTATATAATACATATAATATAAAAATGATATCCTTGAATTACTGCCAAACCACTGAGAATCATGGTTGACACATTTTGCGGGGACACAGTTTAACCCATGAGATTCCACCCTTTGACCATCCTTCCCTGCTTCACCCCCCACCCAAAACATGTCCTTGCCACATGTCAAATACCACACCCTACCAAAAGCCTTAAGTCAATTCCAAGTTCAGATTCCATCTTAGGGTAAAATTCCACTTCATCTATGAACCTCCAATACAAGTCACTTACTTCTATCATCCAATGATAGAACAGGCACAAGGTAGACATACGTGTCCATTACAAATGGGAGAAATTGGAGGGAAAGAGGGGACCTTGAGCAGCAAACACGTAAAGAAACCAGCAGACCAATATACTCTGGTTCTTAAGCTTCGAACCTAGTTCTAGCTCCTCTGAGATTAGTCTACGCAATGGCCCTGCCTTCCAGTTCTGAGTCTTTGGCCATGGTGGAAGTCCCTTGGCCTCTGCCTTCCAGACCCATTTGTAGGGCAACTCTGTTCCCTAGCCTTTGGGCAGACCCGTTCTCCCAATCCAGCTGAGTGGTGACCCTACCTCCTTGTCCCCATTCTTCTGCCCTTAGGGCATGACAGCCCTGCCCATTCAGCTTTTGGCATCAGATCTGGCCCCATGCCCCTGGCACTCATGAGTGGCAGCCTACACTCTGGGGCTGACTTAGTGAAGACCTGACACTTTGAAACCGAGGGGGTTGTGGCCCACCCTTTGACTCTCCAAGGGACTTGGCCTCACCCTTGGAGAACCAGAGGTCACGGCCTTACCCTTTGAGACTAAGATGGCTCTGCTTCTCATGTTCCTTAACTCTTTAGCTCCTGCTTCCTAGTTCCTTGACTTTTCCACTTCTCGGGCCTCTTTGACCAGCCTGGCCTTTGTACTGCATGGGAAAGTGCTACAGAACTTTTGGGTTCTACTGATAAGTGCCCAGAGGCATCGTCCCCTATCAGTAAGTCTCAGCCTGAAGGTGCTCAACTCTCCTGCTCCATGGTTGGCAAACCTCGCTCCATTGATAAGTGCCGGAGGAACTTCATTCTTTTAGGAAGCCTGCTACCTAAAGGAACTCAGCTCTCTATTTATGGGTTGGCTCTTGTGTTACCAGTTTCCTGATTCTATGGCTACCGCTTCTTCAGAGCTGTTTCTCTATGCCTGCACAGTCTCTGGTATTATAGCTCACCTCACTTCCTTCTGAACCCTGGCCAGAATTGCCTTTGATATTCATAAGCTTACCAACAGTCTCTTCAAGACAATCTAGGTTTTTACTATTAGGTGCCTTCAAAGTTTTTCAGCATCTACCTATTACCCAAGTCCAAAAACTGCACCCACAAATTAGGTATCTGCAAAAGATCACCCCACTCCTGGTACCAAATTCTGTTTTCATTATTTCGTACTGTTATAATAGAAATACCACAAGTGAAGGGTGTTAACAAACAGACATTTATTTTCTCATAGTGTAGGAGGCTAGATGTCCAAATTCAGGGTAGCAATTCTAGGGGAAGGCCTTCTTTCTCTATCAGCTCTGGAAGAAGGTCCGTGTATTAGTCTGGGTACTCTGGAGAAACAAATCCACAGCAACTCATGTATAAGAGAGAGTTTTATGTAAAGAAAGTGTGCATCACGAAAACATCCCAACCCCGTGCTGCCCAAGCCCACAAGTCCAACATTAACCCATTAACCCAACACCAGTCCACAAAGTCCTCCACCTCACAAAACAGAGGCAATGATGCCAACTGCAGGAGGAAAGCTGAGTCAGTGAACGAATAAGCATCTCAGCACTAACAGGGGTCTCCACACGGCTGCTCCAGCACCCAGGGCTGCATCGGGATAGGTCCATGTGGCTTCTCCTTGGGGATGTCTTGTAGGATGTCAATCTTGCAAGCTGAAGCAGGGAGCTGCTAAGGCAGCTGCATCCTGGTGCGACCATCACAAAGCAAGAGACCCGAGAACTAGAAAAGCGAGGCTCACCACCCATTTATCCCTGCACCTTTCAATTAGCCCCACATGTGATTATTGGCCAGGCTGGCACAATTAACTCAGTCCTTATCTCCTTTCAATATCTATGAGCCCAGCATTCTTTGCATGGTTTCCATGTGTCTTGGTATGAGTCTTCCCTGAGTTTGTGAGTTCTCGGTGCAGAGACCTGGATTCCAAAGACATGCTTCCCTCCTGCCTCTTCTCTCTCTGCTCACCACATTCTCCTTTGAAATCTTATAAGAGACAAAGGTGATACAGGCCACCCCACCCCCACCCCGTATCAGGTCAGGGCTATGACTTGGTGAGGATGTTGCATCCTACCCTAATTTCCTTACAACCAATTCACTGATCACACCAGATGTCACTGATCACATCACAATGTCAAGGATGATTACATCATGCTATACCCGCCCAACCACCAAATCCTGGTCCAGTCAAGTTGGTGCATGACTTGGGGGTGGAGTGATGGGGTGGGGGAAACAATTCAATCCATGGTGTTCCCTTTACTTCTAATTCCCCTCAGGAATTTGCCTTGCTCCCACCTCCACTTTTTGTTTCACCTGTCACTGTTCTTGTCTACTTTTGGTCATAGCAGGAAATGTTGGCAGGGGGAAGACAATATGTTTGGGACCAGAGGTCCAGTCCCCATTGCACAAGAGAGGGAGCAGAGGCCCAGGAAGGAGGTTCATCTTGCCAGGGTTTCCAAGACTACAGCATGGTTAGTGCCATCTCTTCTAGAATGCTCCTAAAGAAAGAAGTCTGCAGTTCCAGGGCATGCAGCTATCTTGGTTCGGTTACTGAGGTTAGGAGCACAGTGGCTAGGGCAGCTCCATCACCATTTCCCATAGCTAGCCATGCACTCAGACTAGAGACTGGTGAAGCAGCTGCCTCTCCTTCTGAGGTCATTGGAACTGATGGGCAGTTTGTACTGGAATTAATCGATCTAGAACCTTGACAGTCAGATGGTGAGGGTGGGTTGGACCCAGAAAACATGCTGTGTGTCATCAAGTCCATTTTCAACTCTTTGAGAACATATTAACTTATTAAATTCTAAAACATGTGTCAATAGCCCATCACCAGCTCCCAAACAGCTTCCAGCCCCCAGAGAAGACAGATACCACCTCCACATGCACTTCTGCCACAGTCTTGTCTTCCTCCGGCTCTCTTTGGCCCTGTCCTTGCAGGGTTTATCCTTCCTGTTCCTGTCATGTCAGGAACTGCTCATCATCCATGCTTTGGGCTGCCTGCTGAATTGCAAGCACCTGACATGCGGACAGGCCTGCACCCCTACTTCTTGAGTTGCTTGGTGGGCTCCAGGGTTTGTCTCAACTTCACCGGGGGTAGTGTAGATGCTGTACACCGTCACTATCGCCTTGGCACTGACTCGGCTTGGACACGGGTCTTCAAGACGTCCTATGCCTTTTATGATTGGTACCAAACTTTCCCCGCTGGGTCTCTCTTTTACCTGATGGCTATAGTTATGGCCTGCCTCTTAAGATGGACCCAGGTGGAAGACTGGGTACTTTCGCCAGCCTGGGTCCCTGGGACATTGGAGGAGTCTATGTTGGTGATGGAATGTGCTTGGGGTCATGTGCCCGGGGTGCCTGCACAGGTTGATCCAGAGCCTGCCCCCTGCTGTGGTGCTTCTGTTCATAGAACCCTGTTCAGTGTGGAGGACTAGGTACGTAGTGTGGGTCACTGGCTCCTTTCTGGTTTGTGCTTGCCAACTGGGCTTGTAGTCCTTTGAGCGTCAGAGAAACTAGGGGGCTGGCAAGGAGAGTGGCAGCGACTGACTACAAATTCTGCCATGGAGAAACTGATGCCAAGTTGGTTGGCAAAGGGTCTGGGTGAGCTGCCTCTCTGTTCGGCATGTGCCCTCCAGGCTGTTCCATGGCGACCCTTGCCAAGCACTAGTTAGGCAGGGAGGATGGCTGTGACATCACAGCCTTGTCATTCCTCTGTAGCGACCCCTCCGGGTTTTCGGAGCCACACCTGCAGCAGGGGCTGGAAGAGACAGCTGCAGGTCAGGTAGGCTTCCTGGAAGAAAAGGGTCTGTGGATCCCAAGGACGCACACACCAGGCAGTAGGTAGCGTGCCTGGTTTCCACTGCTGCTTTCCGCTAGAGAACCACCATATTACCCATCATGTCATACTGCTCCCTGGGGTCCCCACCCCACCACGTTCCAGACAGTGTGTGGCGCAGCATCGACCCCTTAATAGGGAGGAGCCTGGGATCAGCGAAAGGCCGGAATCATCTCACCGATGGCTCCCAGAGCACAAGAGCTCTAGCAGGCTGCCTGCCCCTCTGGAACGAGTGAGAGGAATCACCCAGGCCTAGCACCAGGGGTGCTCTGAGCTATCTGGCCCTGTGGAAGCCATGTAAATGCAGTGCAGGCAGTGCCTTCTCGGAAGGAAGGCCCAGGAACGTGATGCCTCATCTCCTGGCTTCCGGGAGGCAGAAGTCTGTGTCTCACTCCCTGTGCCAGGCGGGAGCCGCTGAGAGCAGCTTGTTGGGGAGGGAGGAGCGGAGGCCAGACAAGACACAGCCTTTGGGTGAGGGGGCCAGAGCTGGAATGTTTGCTCGGCGCTTGCCGGGCCTCTGTCTCTCTTCTCCCACGTGAAGAGGAGGACCAGCTGGGACCAGGCACCGGGAAGCAAGGCAGCTGGGAGGCCGGGGTAGCTAGGGGACCTGTCCCGAGACTGGGCTCCCCTCCTTGGACAAGAGGCCCCCTGATGGACTCTAGCAACCCACCCCCTCTCCCACAGACCCGAGACAGAAAGCCCGGTGGCATAAAGCAGCACCTCCCCACCCACCACCACACGACAGGGTCCAGGTGTGGGAGGGCTATGGGCTGTGCATGTCTATGTGCGTGTGCCTGCCGGGGGAAGTGTGTGACGTGTCTGTGTTTGAGTGCGTCTGAGTGTGAAATCACACCCCCAGGGGGCTTGGAAAGGAGGGGAGGAAGAGCAGCCAGAAAAGCCAGGCAGGCGTCCTGGCTGCTGGCCGACCCCAGAAAACCTGCACATCTGGAGTGAGCCGCGCTGCCCTCCCTCCCCCAACGTCCCAGACAGCATCTGGCACAGAGTGTTGGCAGTAACACTTTCGGTTTATTGGCGAGGGTGCCCTGGCGTGGCTAACCAGCCACTAGGCCTGAGAGAAGCCCTGTCGTGTATGCCCACCCCACCCCTTCATCTCCCCACTGCGACCCCCGTGGGACATGTATGCAGACTCGGCCCCCAGGAATGGGGGCACCCGAGGTTTACAACAAACAAATCCAGGGGGAGGGGAGAGGACATGACATGACAATGAAGGTTAGGCCGCCCGCCGGCTCTCCACCGTACAGCGGGCAGAGGCCCAGGGGGAGGTGGGAAGGCCCTGCTGACGGCTGCTCCCCACGGGGTCAGGGCTCCCAGAGAAGAACAGTCACTTCAAGTGTCTCCGTGAAAGCATGACCCTCCTGGCCCTGGCTCCTCACTCGGGTGGGGGCGAGGGAAGAGGGGCTCATGGGGAAGTGGTTTCTGAAGGAGTCCAATCCCCCTGCCTGCCGCCGGCAGCCTCAATGGGAGCCATTGGTCCTGCGGTACTGGTGCCCAGGGGGAGAGGAATGGTGCGGCCGTCACCTGCCGGCCCCCGGCCCCGCCCCCAGGGGGAGGGTAGTGGTCACTTCCGGCTGTGGAGTGTGTCCTGAAACTTGGTGCTGGTGTACCGCAGGTGGAAGCCTTTTTTGTTGATGGTGTCATCTGAGTGGAATTTCACCAGGACCGAGTCACCCGCTGAGTACACCTCTTCAGGAGGCTGAGAGAGAAAAGGGGTGGGTGTCGGGCTGACGAAGAGCATTTCCCACATCCCTCTGGCCCCTTGTAAGCAGACTCCAGCCAGGAGTTGAAAGGCGCACCCTAGGTGGGGAGGCGACAGCGTGGGGTGGAGCCGGTTGCCTTAAGCTCAGAGTCGGCTTCCAGACGAAAGCTGGCTCTGCTGCTACCAGCTAGGGACTCTCTGGGCCTCATCTTCCCCAGAGTGGAGGAGGTGCTTCCTGCTGTCCAAGCCTCAAAGGGAAAACTCACTGCCATCGGGTGGATGCCAACTCAGAGTGACCCTAGAGGGCAGGCTAGATGGGCCTCTGAGTTTCCGAGACTGTAACTCTTTATGGGAGTAGAAAGCCCCATCTTTCTCCAGCAGCAGAGCTGCTGGCAGTTTCAAACTGCTGAACCTGTGGATCACAGCCCAATGTGATACCACTACACCACTGGGGCTCCTCTCAAAGGGATCCTGGGGTGGGGGTGGGGGGGGATGAGATGATGGACGTGAGAGAGGATTCTCGGGGGGTGGGGGGGTGGGTTCTCTGCCCCAGCAGTCTCTTGGAGAAGACTAGGCAGAGCCTCTCTCTGCAGGTCTGTGGGGGAAGCTGGCACAGAGAGGCACAGTGCCCCCAGACCTGGACTCTGTCCTCTCTTCTGTCTGCCCATTCTGGCCCTGGTCTGCTTTTGGTGAGGCCAGCGGCCTCCTCATCGCTTGTGGGCCCGTGCTCCATGTGGCCCCTGCAGAAAAGCATCAGGAAACACATGCCCTGGGAGCAGGGATACACTTCTCTGAGAATCTTGGGGACGTTTCCAGGAAGCCCTGCCTGGATTCCTTCTCTGGGTCCCCTCCCTGCTCCAGCCTGGTGGGGGTCTCTGGAAGGGAGGTGTGAGGGCCAAGTGGGGGGCAGATTAGCTCAGCAGGAAGCCAGGGCATTCTGCAGGCGGGGGTGCGGGGATGAACTGTGCAAGCTAGTCGCTGGGGCCACGTCTCCACCCACCCTCTGGCCCTGCCTGGCCTCTGCCATTTACACAAAGGCTGGAGCTCTGCTCCTCAGAGGAGTCAGCCAAGCCAAGGCTGGGTCCATTTAGCTCTTCCTGAAGCCCCCCCGGAAGGCTGGGGAGTGGGGAGTGATGGGAGGGTCTGTGGATCTGAGAGTGTGGAGTGAGGGGGGGTAGGGGGAGACAGCAGTCTGGGAAGGAGAAAGGGATTTGATGAGACAAAAGGGAAAGATGAGAAAGAAAAAGGGAAAAAACAAGCCCTAAGACAAGGTCCTATGGGGAGGGAAAATAAATCCACTTCTGTGGATAGCCCATGGCCTTGGTTCAAATCCCATCAGGCAAAGCTTTGCTCGCTGTCTCTGAATGTGTGGTGCGACAGGGACCTCGTGAGCAGGCATCACTGCCCGCTTGGGGTCTGCTCGGACGGCAGTGATGTCTTTGCCACAAGCTGGCAGCAGGAGGCACAAGGTGTTTTCATGGATCAGACAGACAGATCGCTGAGAGCAGGCGCCCTGGCCTGGTCTCAGCCTCGGGCCTCCGCTCCAGGCCCTCAATTGCTGCCGGCAGCCTAACCAAACTGGTTCTGAAGCAGGCTTTAGTCAGGGCAGGGCCCACCCCAGAGCCCTCAGGAACCTCAGAAGGAGTCTTGTCTCCTGGGCCTTTTGGGTGGGAGAATGGCCTAAGGCCAGGTGGAAGTCTCTGAGCAGCCCCCACGAAGCTGGGTCTCCTGCCTCCTATAAAGGGCCCTGTCTGTGCTACCACTCACTCCTGCTCCCCATGCTGCCAAGGCACTCCCCGCACTGAGAACTGGGGTAAGGGGTGTAGGGCGGGCCTCACCCCAGAGCCGCAGTAGCGCCCCAGTCTGGGGGCTGTGCTGTCGTAGCCGTCAAAGAGCTCCAAGTAGTCGTAGCCGCAGTCCGTCTCCTCCTCCACCTCGAAGGTCTGGAACACCAGCTCCACGCCGTAGCCCTCCTCGGCCACGACCACCCACTCGCAGTCCACGGCCCCGGGGTAGTTGTTGTCTCCAAACTGGGCGTGGGAGTACAGGTCCTTGGTCTTCACCTCGGCCCGCACCTGGCCCCCACACTCTGCAGGAGGAGAGGACAAGGTGGGTGGGCTTCCTGAGTTCTGCCCAGCGGCCCGGCCCGGCACCCTCATGGTGCAGAGAAACACTGAAGCCTTGGGGGAAGGCCCCCGGTGGCCAGGGGTAGGTGGGGAACCTGAACTGTTTGGCTGGCTGTCTTACTTCTGGGATCCATGCCTACTGAGGCCAGGGGATGAATGGGGGTGAGGCGCACAGAGCGGAAGGTGGTGGTGGGTAGGGTGTGTGTGTGTGTGTGTGTGTGTGTGTGTGTGTACTCTGTGGCTGAAGAGGCCAGTCACTAATTTGTTGCAGCTGGTAGCTGCCATGGAAGAATGGGGGTCCAGCCTTGCCAGGGCTTCGCATTTTAAAGGGGAAGCCCTACATCTGGAATTTATGGAGAAACTCCTGGTTTTTAAATGCTAGCTCCAATTTATAGACATAAAACCAAACCAAAACAAAAACCAACAGCAAACACATTGCAGGCCAAACATAGCAGGTCTGAGGGGCCAGATGGAGTGCTGGGGCCCTCACGTAGTGACCCCGGTTCTGGGAGAGGCAAACAAGAGTGTGTGGGCCAGAACGGTCAGCGGTCACCTCCTCCCAACACCCTCAGCCCTGCCGCCCTCCCTGCACCTGGCCTCCGTGGTCCCTGGAGGAGGTGGGGAGATACCTGGGTGGGGCCAAGGTCAGGGACAGAACCCAAAAGGGAGGGCAGGTGGTGGGTTCATCAGTTCTGAGGACTCTCCAGCAGGTGGCTGTGGGCCTGTGAAGGTTTACGCCCGAGTCCTGGTGTGGCAGGCCAGGCCTTACAGGCCCACCCTCCCCACTCAACGCAGGACTGTTCCATACACTCGTACACTCAACGCCTGGCTGTTGGGTGCCATCGCACAGCTCCTGATGCACAGTGACTCTCCGTGACAGTAAAACTGCCCCCAAAGAGTTTTCCTGGCCGTCTTCATGGACGTAGAAGGAGGAGCCTTCCGGTGGGTTTGAACTCCCAACCTTTCAGTCTGCAGCCCAGTGCTTAGCCATTACACCACCAGGGCACCCGCACATGCCCAACCCTCTGGGCAAACGGAATCTGTGACTTGCTCTCACCTCTACCCTGAGCTGGCCTCTGACTGTAGCTTGGCCTGAGCTTCCCCTGGCCCTGCCTGGAATGGCCCTGCCAGCTCACACCTGGGCGGGTGACTCAGCTGCTGGTTGCCCTTATCCTGGTCTGTCTCCCGCTGGGATGATCTGCGCATGTCTCATCTCCGGAGAGAACAAGGGTGGGAGGTTGTTTGGTGGCCCTGTCCCCTGGGGGTTTTCTTGCAGACAGTGGGCACTCCACAAATGTTGAGCCAATGAGCACAGGAATATAGAATGCGAGCCCCAAGGGCAAGGGTCTTCGCCGGCCACATTCATGGTTCTGACCCGCATTTAGAACCACTGCCTCTTATCTCTTAGACCAGCGGTTCTCAACCTGTGGGTCGCAACCCTTTGGGGGCCAAACGACCCTTTCACAGGGGTCGCCCGATTTATAACAGTAGCAAAATGACAGTTATGAAGTAGCAATGAAAATAATTTTATGGTTGCAGGGTCCCCACAACATGAGGAACCGTAGGAAAGGGTCGCGGCATGAGGAAGGTTGAGAACCACGGTCTTAGGCATTCATCTTTGGGGTTGAAATGTGGGTGGGTTCCTGTGTTTTTTTCTACCCTTGGAGACTTTGGAAGGTTCCTGAAAGAAAGGGACCAGGAGCAGTATCCCCCTTGTCCTTGGTTCCCTCCCCATGTCATCATGACCCTGCTTTCCGGCCAGTGCAGTCACAACTCCACTCCCACACCCTCCAGGGCTTACTCTGCTCTCGGGCCGAGCCCACAGAACACACCGTCTTGTTGCTCACCCATCACCCAATCTCCTACAAGCCGTCTCTCCACCCAGGCTACATGAACGCAGGCTCTTTGTAAGCCCCCACTTCTAGCCCAGGCCTTGGCCTTCCGTCAAGGATCAGCAGACACCTCCAGAACATCTGACCTAAGGGTCCAGCTACCCAGCACCCTCACCTGTGGAGTGGGAGGCCTGGAAGCCTTTCCTCTGGACCGAGTTGTCAGAGAAGAACCTCAGGAACATGCGGTTGCCGGTGGCCAGGACAGACTCGGGCTTCTTGCTGCCGCAGAAGCGGCCCAGGACAGGAGCTTTGGCGTCGCGCCCATCATACACCTCCAGGTGGTCGTAAGCACACTCGGGCTGGGACTCTATGTCCATCTCCATGAAGGTCTGGAGGGTGTGAGGAGGGGGTTGGGTTAGGGATGTGGCTGAGAGACTGGCTGGGGTGAAGGGCGAGTCCACCCCACCCCCATTGCCATCAAGTCGGTGCTGGCTTATAGTGACTCTATCAGTAAAGGCTGTCAGTCATCATGGGAGCAGCACACCTCTTTCTCCCAAGGAGTGGTTGATGGGTTTGAACTGCCGACCTTGTGGAGGGAGCAGGGGGTTCCAGATGGTTGACTCTCAACCCTAGCTCACTGAGACCTCAGGGGAGTGGCCACTGTGGGTAGTTGACAGTGAGGGAGGACGCAGGCATGAGGCAATAGCAGGGATGCTGCCGTGTGTGCCCCAAATGGGGGCCTCAGGAAAGGTTGGATTTAGGGGTTCTCCCGGGGATGGCAGTCCCATGTGTTCAACCATACTGCCTGGGCTCCAGCCTGCTTTGCTCTGAGCGGGGTCTCTCAATGGGTCAGCACTTGAGGGATGGAGACCCAGTGGTGGCCAGACTGTATGGAGGGATCCGATGTGCCCATGGAGGCTGGGAGTAGGCGCCTTACCAGCTTGACCCGGTGCCCGGGGGTGCTAGAGATGGCCCAGGTACAGTCCCTCTTGCTGGGATATTTGTCAGGCCAGTTGGGGCTGGTGATGGTGCCGGTGGTTGAGGTGACTTTGTGGTCACAGCCCGCTGTGGGGAGTAAGTGAGAGGATCAGCAGGGACCTCAAGGCCCTATGTGCCCCTCTCCCCAAAAGAAAGGCCCTTTCTTCTTGCCCTCCCCTTCCTTCTTGCTCTCGTTGTCCCCCACTGGAAGCCTGGGCTGAAGCTTCATAAGGCTGCTGCTTCAGTTCCCCGTGCCTTGGGGAAGCCTCCAAAGCGAATCAAACTCGTTGTCATCGAATCGGATCTGATTGGAAAACGGCTGCTTCTACAAGAAGCCGGAGCGAGTCTCACTGGGCAGCAGCACCGGAAGCGGTCACCACAGACCCTCTGGTGCAGCTCTGCCTCCCCTCCCCTCCTCCTGACCTTTGAGGCTCATGCTCTCGGTCACCCCGCCTCGGCCCCTCCCTTGGTGTTTCGTGTTCTGATCTCCGCCATGTTTCCCATGCACGGAAGACTTTGACACCTGACTCAGTTCTCTCCACTGCTCCGTTGGCCATTGTCCTGGTGACCTCAACACACACGTGATGGTCCTTCCAACACACCGGCCTCCTGCTCTTTGACCTCAGTACTTTCAACCTTTATCTTCCTCTGGAGACACGCATGCTTATGGTGTCACGCATGCTTATGGTGTCACGCTAGGTTTTCCCATCAGCATGTATGACTTCTTGATGCTACACAGGCGTCACTCCCTCTGTGGCCACCTCCACGTCTTCTAGTGGGTGCGGGTCCTCGCTTGTCCTACAAGAGCTACTCAACTTCAGAGAGAGTGGTATGGTCTTGGTCCTTCCATGTTTTCCCAAGAGACCTCCTCTATTGGCTTACCACACATCCTATCCAGCAAGGCTACATGGCCAATCACCCAAACGCCTTCTTCATCAAGATCCTCCATGATCCTACACCTGTCTTTCTAGGGTACCAGATGGGTCCCCAAACCGCCTGATACCCTTTAGATGTTCCCTTAGCCAGCCATCGCCTCAGGGATGGCTGCAAATCAACAGCACGCACCTGAAGTCACTGTCTCAGGTCCCAACTTGTCCCTCCCAGCGGGCCACCTCGCCTCAGTGCAATTCAGACAGCACTTCTCTGGGAAAACCAGAGGCATGAACTGCTTCCACTTCCCATCCTCTACCTGCAGACACATCTCACCTGCCTCCACCTTCTCTCCTTCCTTTGGTCTCAGGGGAGAGGGTGTTCCTCCTGGCTGGCAGGGGTGACTTTCTCCTCTGGGGGCTGGAGTCCTTTGCTGCTGTAATTTGAGGGCCTTCGTACCCAAATCACCACCCCCAACACCCTCTCTCTTGGCCAGCTCTGTTAGCTCAGCCTAGAACAGCTCTCCCATTGGTCCGATTTCCCTGCTAGGGACCGCCTCTTCTCTCCCCTTTCCTTCTCAGCTAAACTCAAAGAGAACTTGTTATTACCATATTGCCGATACCCACGGCTCCTCAGCCTACAATAATCTGGTTTCTGCCTCTGAAAAGCCTGGCCTCACAAGCTCACATTTGACAAGCTGGCGCTCATTACTCATTATCAATCAATCTGACCGAGCCCTCTGAGTTAAGGTGGGCAGCCAGTGTCCTGTTGGGCCCAGGCAGAAGAAAGGGATGGGTGGAGCGTGCTGGGTGTGCACGTGTGCCTACAGTGAGAGGCTCAGCCACCAGGGTCCAGAAAGGGGCCCTAACTAAGGCCACCCAGCAGGGTCCTGGGGAGGCCGGTCAAGCTCTGCTCTCCTCGCGGTGGGCTGTGAGTGGTTTCCATTAGCTCCCTGTGGTCCCACATCTCCACACCTGCCCTCGTCCACTTCACACCGGTCTTCCACACCCTCTCCTCATTACCTGCACGTTCACTCCTCCCCACAGTGAGGCCGAGCTCTCGTTGGGAACAAGGACCCTTTTCTTGAATCCCCTGCAGGACTCTGGACAGCCCTGAGTCCTCAGGAGGGCTTCAATAAATACCAATGGATGGGCTGAATACTTCTATAGAGCATCAGAGTGATGGACAGGTCATCTTCCCCAAAATTTAACCCCTCTCCTGGCTATCTTGTTGAAGGTGTTATTCATATCAACACTTTCTTTATATGTATATACATACATATATGTATATAAACAGTTAGTCTAAAGAGC